AAAAAAAAAAAAAAAAAGAATGGAAGTGGGGAATCTAAAGCCTTAGGAATTCTCATGCACTGCTGGTGGGAGTGCAATAGGGTACAATTACTTTTGGCTAGTTCTATCATACACCCTATGACCCAGCAATTCTAAGCCATATACCCATCAGAAATGAATACATATGTGCACAAAAACACATGTACAGAAATATTCTCAGCAATTCGATTCATAACAGCTCTAAAATGGAAACAACCAAAATGACCATCAACAGTACAATGCATAAGCAAATTGTGGGTACATTCATACAATATGGATATATATAATCACAAATGTACTGCACAACATAAGACTGAGGAAAAGAAGACAAGCACCAAAACTACATGCTATATGATTCAATTTTATAACAATTAAAAATAGGCAGGGGCGTCTGGGCAGCTCAGTTGGTTAAACGTCCAACTTTGGCCCAGATCATGATCCCACGCTTCATCGGTTCAAGCCTTGCATCAGCCTCTGTGCCGACAGCTCGGAGCTCAGACAGAGCCTGGAGCCTGCTTCAGATTCTGTGTCTCCCTCTCCCTCTGCCCCTCCCCTGCTTGTACTGTCTCCCAAAAATAAATAAATATTTTTTAAAAATTAAAAAAAAATAGGCAAAGCTGAACAATGGTATCAGAAATTAGAATGTAGGGAAGAGAAGTAACCAGTAGGAACATGAGGGTCTCTGAAGTTCTGAAAATATTCTATTTCTTGATCTGGGTGGTAGTTACATGGATAGGGTCACTTTGTGATAATTCATCAAGTATATAATATGGGCATTTTTCTACATTTATGACATGCTTCAATAAAATAATTCATCTTTAAAATACAGAAGCAAAAAATCATAAGAAGCCTACTGAAATCTCCCAGCCAAGAAATGATGGTGGCTTGGAGATGGAAAGAAATGAGTAGGTCTAAGATATATTCCAGAAGTGAGCTGAAACAGATGTACAGGAAAGTTGAGTATCTAGGACATGTCCTGTATTTTTGGCTTGAGCAACTGAGTGTGCCATTTACTGGGATGGGAAGGGCCTGAAAAGAAGAAAGGTGTAGTAACGAATTCATTCTAAGGGCGCCCGGGTGGCTCAGTCAGTTGAGCATCTGACTTCAGCTCGGGTCATGATCTCATGGTTCATGGGTTCGAGCTCCACATCCGGCTCTGTGCCAACAGCTTGCTCAGAGCCTGGAGGCTGCTTTGGATTCTGTGTCTCTCTCTCTCTCTCTGCCCCTCCCCTGCTCATGCTCTGTCTCAAAAATAAATTAAAAAACATTAAAAAAAATTATTTTTTTTTTAAAATTCAACTCAAGGTGCCCTTTCGATGTTCAGACTGAGAAGAGATTTTTATTTTACTAAAGAATTTCTCCTGGGAGTGCCTGCATGGCTCAGTTAGGCATCTGACTTTGGTTCAGGTCATGATCACACAGTTCATGAGTTCCAACCCCGCTTCAGGTGAGCCCTGCTTCTTTCTCTCTCTCTCTCTCTCCCTCTCTCTCTCCCTCTCGGGATTCTCTCTCTTTCTGCCCCTCGCTCACTTACACTCTCTCACAAAAAAAAAAAAATTTCTCCTGGAAGAAATTTCACTCCCCCAAATTATCCAACCCAGCATCCATCTCACAACGCAGGCCAAAAGCCCAAAAGGACACCTTACCTTCACCAGCACATAGTCCCCAGGCTGAGCTCTAACCCTGACCCCAGAGTTAGAAACATCCTCAATCTCTACATTAGGGAAGATCACTTTAAGGTTTCCATCATTCCGGCCACACAGGTCAGTGGCAGAGCGTTTACTGTGCTGCAAAAAGAAGAGAAGAGAGTTTATGAATCTGTCACAGTTATCAGTTCTCAGACGGCAGAAATTATACCTTCTCTGTCTCAGAACCCTAAGGGTTTTACTCAAAGAGCATTCCTTAATCAAGGAATCACTTAAGACTACAAAGGGGCACCTGGCTGGCTCAGTTGGTGGAATATGCAACTCTTGATCTGGGGGTTCTGAGTTCGAACCCCATGTTGAATGTAGAGATTACTTTAAAAAAAAAAAAAAGACTACATGTTTACTGCTGCTCAGCAACAAGGACAGCGCATGGCACACTAGAGAGACTCCATAAATTTTGCTAACTATCTGTTAATAAATGACTCAGTCTTTCATTGCAGAATTACCTTCTTTAGGAATGGACTTCCAGTAGTCCTAAAAGCAAGAACACATGGGTGATACACTTAACAAACTGACTTTCACTTTATCCGATCTCATAGTAACCACTCAGGAATGTTCTGGGGTTGTTTGGCCTAGGTTAACTTGCCGTTAATGAACAGGCAGACATGAAGCCAGAGTCTCCATCACAACATACAGAAGACAGGGTCAGGACAATAATAAAACCAGTATGATGGTATTAACTTCTAGAATATATACAAGTTTTTCTCTTCCAGCCATGATGAAATGTCAAGAATCAAATTTATTCTCTGGCCTTAAACAGAAACTGGACAAAATATATGAAATCGCAATTTTCAGATACTGGACAACAGACTGTGCAAGACTGTGAAGCCAAGAAAAGGAAAACAAATGAGATGAGCCCTCCAATCACCCTTGTGTTTTGCCAGAAGGCATGTGTCAGACCAGGGTATGCCAAGCAGGCAGGAAGATCTTGAGGCACACCATAGTGGCTCTCTCTGGATTTAGGAAAAAGACATCAGAGTTCAGGGAGCCTGCAATAGATAGGAATTGTGGAGCAAGTTCTAAAGACGAGGGAGCTAAGCAGAAAAAGAGCTATAGAAACATGCACAGGGATCCCTTGAGTCTTTGCTGAATGTTTATCACAGTGAAACTCCACAAAGTCAGGCAAAAAAAGTAACCGGGGAACCGTCAGCAGATGTGCTTCCAGAGCTCATGCAGGGCTGGGAATCACAACTTATCACAATCACAATTAATGGCAGTCCTCATTGATTCCTTGGGACATGCAGTACTAATTCCAGAAAGCCACCCCTTAGCAATGAGGCTAAACTATTCCTGGGATAAAAAAGCTTTCCTAACAAAACCTGAAATCAAGCCCTGACAGGATCAAACTGAACTGCAGGTAACAAAATCACCTATCAGAACAAAGCCCAACACAAAATCCAGACCTTAAAAATTAGTATCACGATGTTAAATGTCCCATCAAAAATCAGTGGATATGCCCAGAAGCAAAAAATGTTACCTATAATAGGAGAAAAGTTTATCAAAAGAAACAGACCAAGAAATGATAGCAATGATGGAATTATCACAAAAATAATAAACCAGTTTTTATGATTACATTCAAAGGAAATTAAGTTTCAAAGGAAAACAAGAATACAGGAGACAAATAGAAGGTATTTGAAAAGAACTAAATGGACCTTATACAGACCAAAAATATAATATCTAAAATTAAAAATTCAATAGGTAATAGCAGATTACACAAATAGTGAACCTGAAGACAGAGCCAAAGAAACTATCCAAAACAAAGCACAGAGGTATAAAAAGCAGAAAAAAATGAACCACCTCAATGACCTACAGAAAAACCTTTTTATAAGTGGTTGGCCATATATGTAACTGGAGTCATGGAAGGAGAGGAGAAGCAGTGGGGGGTGGGTGGCAGGAAGCAGGAGGAGTACAGAAAAAATATCTGACGGAGCACCTGGGTGGCTCAGCTGGTTAAGCATTCGACTCTTGGTTTCGACTCCGGTCACGATCTCATGGTTTGTGGGATCGAGCCCCACATCGGTCTCTGCCCTGACAGCACAGAGCCTGCTTGGGATTCTCTTTCTCCCTCTCTCTCTCTGCTCCCCCTCCCCTCTCAAAATAAATAAATAAACTTAAAAAGATATACATCTGAAAGATAATAGATGAAAATTTTCCAAATTTGATGAAAATTATAAATTCACAAACTAAGAAGCCTCAACAAATCCCAAAGAAAACACAAAGGGATAAACACAAAGAAAGCCATGCCAAGACACATCAAATTTCTAAAAACAGTGATAAAGTAAATATCTTTAAAAAGCAGCCAGAGAAAAAAGGAATTTTATGTACACAGGAAGAAAGAGAAGGATGATTGCAAACTTCTTGTCAGAACCAAGTAAGTCAGAAAACAACAGAATACCTTTAAAACATCAACTTAAAATTTCATACCTAATGAAAAAATATTTTTTAAAGTGAAAAGACATTTTTTTCAGACAAACGACATCTGAGAGGATTCATCACAAAAAGATCTCCATTACAAGAAATGTTCAAAGAAGTTTGTCAAGCATAAAGATAATGATACCAGACAGAAACCTGAATGTACACAAGGAATGCAGAACGACAGAAGCAATAATTAAGTGGGGACACAGGAAAGAGTTTTTTCTTGTTTTTAAAAAAGTTTTTTTTTTAAAGCAACTGAGTATTGTACACGGTGATGGACTGATGGCGGGCCCTTCTCTGTGGGCCTCTCACAGCGTACCCGCGCCAGAGGAGTGTGCAGCCCTGAACCACTGCCCTGCCTCCTGACTGATGGGCTGTGAACACTGACGGGGGCTCTACAGTTGATTATTCAAAGCAAAAATATCAACGTGTTTTGGGACACAGAAGTAAAAATCTATGACAACGATAGCACAAAAGGGGAAAAAAAGGATAGAAGTATATTATTTTAAGGGTCTTACATTATACATGCTAGGTGATGGCCTGTCTGGGGTTAAAACAATTGGCCAGAGACAATCCAAAAGGTAATCTGTTCTTAGAAAATCAAGCTCCAACGTCATGCTATATTCTTCAGTAACCAAAGACAGAGGAAGGAGTTTAGTTCTTAAACTAATTACTACTTTAGGGAAACGGCAGTCAGGTAAGATTTAAAAAGATTTCCCACTATCTCCCTACAAAACACTTACTAGTTACAAAAGGAAAATGAGCACCTTTACAGTCGACAAGCTTAGCAGACACAACCTTAACAAAACGTTCAAAACGAGATGCTTAAAATTAACATCACCAGCAATGAGACCAGCAAAACCGTACACCACCCAGGACACAAATAAGAACACATTTCTCTAACATTCCGGCCTAAAAATACATAACCTCAATCTTACCACAGGGAAACTTCAGACGAACTCAAATTAAGGAATATTCTACAAAATAACTGGCCCATAGGGGCACCCGGGTGCCTCAGTGGGTTGAGCGTCAAACTCTTGATTTCAGCTCAGGACATCATCTCACAGTTCGTGAGTTTGGGCCCCACATTGGGCTCCATGCTGACAATACAGAGCCTGCTTGGGATTCTCTCTCTCTCCCTCTCTCTCTGCCCCTCCTCTGCTCATGTGAGCATACACATTCTCACTCTCTCTCTCAAAATAAATTTAAAAACTTAAGTAAATAAATAACTGGCTTGTAATCATCAAGTGTCAAGATTGTGAAAGTCAAAGAAAGACTGAGGAACTTTTCTAGACTGAAGGAGACCAGACAGACATGAAATTAATGCAACATATGATACCAAACAAACTCTTTTTCCTATAAAGGGCAGTTCTGTGACAACTGGAGAAATTTAAACAGGGTGGGGGGACTAGATCGCAGAAATCTAACAAGGTAAATTTCCTGATCTGGTGGTTGCACTATAGTTATGTAGGAGAATGTCCCTATTTATAAGAGAGAGAGATATATTACAGTATTAGAGGGGAGGTGAGGGCATCATCGGGTCAGCAACTAACTCCCAAATGAGTCAAGGAAAAAAAATTCTTGGTGTACTCTATTGCAACTTTTCTGTAAGCTTATGATTGTTTTATAATAAATTTTTAAAAAGACAGCATGATTCCATGATTTGAACCAACCATAAAAGAACATTTATGAAACAAAAAGGGAAATTGGAACACTGACTAAATATCTGACAATATTAACAAACAATTATTGATTATTTCAGATATGATAATAGCCTAATGATGGGTTTTTTTTCTTAGAGTCCTTCTCTTTTAGAGAGATATATACTGAAATATTTACTGACAAAACACAATGTATATGTATAATATGATGTATAAGTATAAGGTACTTGCTTCAAAACAATCCAAATTGGGGGAAGGGGGGGCACCTGGGTGGCTCAGTTGGTTAGACCTCAGACTCTTGATTGTGGTGATTTCATGGTTCGTGGGTTCAAGCCCCACGTCAGGCTCTGCACCAACAGCACAGAGCCTGCTTGGGGATTCTCTCACTCCCTCTCTCTCTGCCCTTCCCCAACTCATGGTTGGGCTCTCTGTCTCTCTAAGTAAATAAATAAATAAACTTAAAAAAAAAAAATCAGTGCACCTGGGTGGCTAAATTCTCTCTCTCTCCCTCTGTCTCTGCCCCTCCCCTGCTCACACACACTTTCTCTGTCCAAATAGGTAAATAAACAAAAATAAATAAAAGCAAAAGGTTTAAAAGAAAATAACAATCCAATGGGGACAGTAAAGATGAAAAAAGATTAGCCATGATTAATTAACACTGTATTGACAGTTGTTGAGGTTGGTTAATGGGTATGTGGGCATTCATTATACTGTTCTCTCTATACCCATATATGTTTTAAATTCCCCATAATTAAAAAAGGGGGAAGGCTGTTGTTTAGAGGTTCTGGAACGAAATAGCCCTAAGTCAAATTCTGGCTCTGCCACACAAGCTGTATGACCTTCAGAAAGTTATTCCACTTCTCTGAGTCTCTGTTTCTTCATCTCATAAAAGGACTAATAATTAGCACTACCTCCAAAACCGTGGTAGGACTCAATGTACCAACGACATAAAGTGCACAGTTCCTGGCAAACAGTAAATGCTCAGTAGACATGAGTTATCATCAACTTCTCTGCCACTCTGGAGATAGCAACCTGATGTTTTAAACCAGCCAGGACTAGAGGAAAGAAAGTCTTCTCTAAGAGAAAGTAAAGACTCCCAACTGCTAGCCCTGAAAAATCCATTTATTCTCTAACCCCGAGTCATGGCTTATGCTGGACGCATAAGAAAGAATCTTGTTTTGATTTATTTAGTTACGACAGGTTTGCTGCAAGGCTAATGAAGTCAGGGACACAGAATAGTAAACTTTGAGTACTTATTCATTCATTCAAAAGATAAGTACGCTATTCTGTGCCAGACTCCGTGAAGAGAGCTGGGAATACAACAAGACCTAATTCTTACTAGATAAAATGTAGACTGCTAATAGACATGTACATATCTCCAGAATCACAGCTGACACCCTAAATCACAAGGTATTTAGTGAGGCAAAAACCTTTTGGGGTATTACACTAGCTCAGCATCACCAATCAGCCAACTGCTGGTCTAGACCACAGGAAGATCCCGTAGCCCAAGATGAGCTGACCAAGTACCCGTCCTGGAAATCTGAGCTGGGGCTGAGAGACACAACTGTGACCCATGAATAACGAGAACCATAACATGTAAACATAGGAACTACACAGCTGCTGTACTCACTCTGCAACAAAGATGAGGAAGCAGGAAAAGCTGCTCTAAGTAGCCAAGAAAGCCTGAAGGGCTTCCCAGACTGGGTACAGTCCTTTCTAGACACCTACAGTATTCCTGCCCTTGGGCTCCACAAGACACCCCTGAAGTCTTATACAAAAGAAGATTTCTTTTTGGCTTAGGCTGAATGGCTTAAAGAAATTTGTGTTACTCACTACTAAAGAGTCCTAACAAACACAGATACCAGGTAATTGGTGGCTTTGATGCTACCATATCCTAAGGCATGAAACAGGACTCTCTCTTCTCAATCCAGGACTTAGGAGTCACAGAAAGAGCCCATCTCTCTCCTTCCCTTCCTCTCCAATGGCTGCAGCATGTAGCTTCATAAAAGGTCAGCTCCCAAACTTACCCCTTATTCCATGTGTTTAGTGCTCTGACGGTTAGGTTCCCCAGCTTGACCACAGATGCCTATAGGAACCCCAAACTTTCTGAAATACAGTACACTTCTAAGAAAATGTGATTTTAAAAAATGTGATTTTTAAAAAAGCCTGGCTGGCTCTGTTGGTAGAGCATACAACTTTTTGATCTCAGGGTTGTGGGTGAGCCCCACGTTGGGTGTAGAGATTACTTAAAAAATAAATAAATAAGATCTTGGGGCACCTGGATAGTTCAGTTGCTTAAGCGTCTGACTCTTGATTTCAGCTCAAGTCATGATCTCATGGTTTCTAAGATTGAGCCCCGCATCAGGCTCTGTGCTGACCGTGCAGAGCCTGCTTGGGATTCTCTCCCTCCCTCTCTCTCTCTGCCCTTTCCCCACTCACATGCATGCATGCACACACACTCTCTCTCTCAAAATAGATAAATAAACATTTTAAAAAATTAAAAAAGAAGGATTACAGACAAACTGATTCTGAAAACATACATATGATACTGCTTCCAGAAAGATGGAGCAGACATACTTTTCCTTAATCTTTCTGCTGCTAAGCACAAAAATATCTTTTAAGAATGAAGGAGAGAGGTGCCCGGGTGGCTCAGTCGGTTAAGTGGCCAACTT